GGCCCGTGAGCCGTGGCCGCTGAGCCTGCGCGTCCGGAGCCTGTGCTCCGCAACGGGAGAGGCCACAGCGGTGAGAGGCCCGCGTACCGCAAAAGAAAAAAAAGAAAAAAGAAAATAAAATAAAATATTCTAGTTACCTAAAACCCGTAGATCCGATATGCCCAGACATTTATATACACTCCCAATGGAGTGTAAACCAAAGAATTCTACAATTATTCACTGTTCGTATGTTGCCTTCTAGGCCTAGGAAGAAGATGTGGTCAGTGAGCTTCATAACCTGTGGTCTGATGGGGAGGGGGTGGAACTAAGGCTGGGGTGGTGAAGCAGGGGACAGGGAGAGAGACAAAGCTGCAGTGAGGGTCCTCCAGCCCTCTACCCACCCTCAGCTTGGCATTTCCTCCTCTAACACCCTCCGAGCCTTCTGCAAACACGCACACAGTTCTCCCCAGTAGGACAGAGTGGACAGTGTTTTGGAGTCTAAATAAACATAGGTTAAAACTCGGGTTCTACCACTGACTAACCATGTGAGCAGATCACTAAATGTCTCTGTGTTTTATCTGTCTCTGGCTGGCTCTGAGAACTGTGCCCCAGGACAGTCCCTTGAATGTAGTACATGCTCAGTGCACGTCTCCTTCTCCCAAATGCAGGTTGCTCCAGACTTTCCCAATGGAACCCAGAGCTGTGATAGCCAAGGGCCCAGCACCCCAGACATCCACCTTAGTTTCCAACCCAGCTGCCACTAGAGTTGAGGCTTGGAGTAAGATAACGCCCTCTCTCGTATCACTTTGTCCCATGCAAGTTAAACAGAGTGATCCAACTCAATTATTTGGCAGGTGGCAGGTTTGGGGGACCCCAGGGGACACTCTTCTGCCCTGGAAAAGCAGGTCTCTCTGGGAGAGGCGTACAGATAGGGTGACCTTGGAATGGGTCTCCAGGGCACTGTGTTTATGTGTGCCCACCTTCCACCCCTCGCACAGGAGGTGCCCAGAACTGAACAGGAAATGGTAACTTGGTTGTCATGGCAGCAAGCAAGGCAGGATTGGGTGAGGCCCCCTCAAGGAGCATTTAGTAGATGTGGGGTAGGAGAGATTGCTTCAGGGATTGCTTCCCTACCCCCACCCCAGGACAGGGGGTAAGGACGGAGGTCGTGGCATCAACATTCCAAGAAAAAGCAAGTTCAAAGCGCACACACGTAAGGCAATGATTCCCATAGGAAACAAACAGGGCTCTCCCGACAGAGGCCAAGGGACGAGGGCTTGTTGTGTGTGAGGAAGTGGGGTGGCCCTGGTCAGAGGTCCTGAGGAAGACAGGCAGATAAAGGGGCCCATGCAGAGAGGGTCCAGAGCTTTATCTTAGTTTGTGAGGCCTGGGTTAGCTTTGCCCGGGGCCAGATACCAGGAGGGCACCTTCTCACCGGTCTCTGCTGGGGAACTACGAGGTCAGCCAGACCGTCTCCTCCTCCTCCAACCCCACAAGATCACTGAGCAAAGAAAAGCAGGAAGGGGGTCCAGCAGCAGACCATTCCCTCCCCCGTAAGCCACCCGCCGACCCTCTCACCTGCGACAGGGCCCTGGAGCCACAGCAGCAGCAGCAAGGCGGGAGCCATGGCTCCGTGCAGCGGGGACGGGCACAAGCCCAGCAGGGGGCAGGGATCCGAGGTTAGGGCCCCAGGCCTATGCTGGACGGACCGCTTGGGGCTGCCAGGGAAGACCTGGGGTTCTAAATATGAAGTTGCCCATGTAGGGAAGTGAGGAAGTTGTGGGACCCACTGTGACCAGCAGACCGCAGGGGCCCGCAGGGCCTGCGAGAGGGCGGTGCTGGTGCAGTTTCCACCCCCTCTCACTCAAAACTTCAGGCAGGTGTGGCTGCTCCACCCGGTCCGGGGCCTCCCAGCCCAGGGAGGGCTCTCGGGGTCAGAAGACTCCTCACCCTCTTTGGATTCCCTCCTGGAATCTGGTCCATTAGGAATGCCATCGTCTGAAGCCAGTTATTCATCTAGGGGGCTAGTGTGAGGTTTCTAGACCCTCAGGCACAGACTTCCCTGGAATTCTCTGTGCTCAGAGACCCAGAGATATAGGCTATGGGGCTTGGGTGGGGCATCTCAGACCCAACGTTTTTCACAAACCCACATTCACGGGGAGCTTCTTGTAAACTCCCATTTGTTTATTCATGCACTCATTCGTGCATATGTGTGTTCGTTCTGGCACTCTGCCTCTCTCTCTCCCAGGCTCCTGGCCGGTCAGAACAGTCACTCATGCTCACACTCGCAAATAACCCCTTACATGCTCAGATGCAACCTTATTTTTGTCATGGTTAGAGTGACAGGAGAAAAGAAGATGCAAATTGTAAGACTCGGAGCATAAAGTTTGGGTTCAGGGAGGAGCCCCTGTGCTCTCACGTATGCGTGTGCGTGCACACACACACACACACACAAACATACACTCACACACTCATACTCACACACACACACACACACACACACACATACATACATGCACTGTCTCATACTTACACAAGCGGCAGCTGCCTCTCCTTTTCAATGCTCACATCGCCTTACCTTTATCCCTCTCTCTGCCTCTCCTACCAACACCTCTAATCACCCACCAGCTCTGTCCAGACTCCGGCTCCCTGCTGCAGCCTTCCTAAAGCAGCCCCAATGCTTCCCCTCCCCCACCTCTTCTCCAGAAACCACACCCCCTGCCCCTTCTGCCCCTGCTCCAGCACAGGCATGCGCACTCAACTTCCTCTCAACCAACCCTATCTCTCCTATACAGCCGCCAAGCTCCAGCTAAAATGACCCAGCATTTGGCCCAAGACCCCACCCTTCACTCAGTCCCCAGGGCTGAGAATCAGAAGGATAGACTTCTGACATCCAGGAGTTGTGTCGTAGGCTCCTTTGCGTGTGGGGACCCAGATGGACCCTCATGACTATGTGCCCTCCCCCTACTCTCCTATGCCGACTTTCTTCTCCTTAGATAGAACTCAGAGTAAAACGTCCTCAAGTTTGCATGGCCACAGTCTTAAACTGAGCTTGAACCCCCAAATCCCAAAGCAAGGAAGTTTTATCTTTGCTGATCCCAAATTTTAGTCTCAACATTCATTCATTCACTCATCAGTTTGTTTGTTCTTACAGCCTTATGTGCTATGCCTGGCGCTGGGCACCAGCATATAGAAATGAGATACAGTTGTCACTTCAGACCTCTCAGCCCCCATGAGACATAGTATGCTTTCCTTATTCACCCTTCCTTTTTCATATTCTCCCCCAGTTTAACACTGCTCCTCAGACCCCTGAGTTCAGAGGCTGTCTCTCCTCCCAACACACATGGTATCTTCCTTCCTTTCTTTCCTCCATCAGAACAGTAAATGGCTTCAGGACTCAGGGAAAATCTCATTTATCTCTTGTGGGGACTTCATGTGCCTGGAATAAATGCTTCTATTAAATCCCTGCTGTGTCCCTAGCCCTGAGTGAGGCCTTGTGAAAAGTGCAATCACTGACAGTTGTGCTGATAAGGATATAAAAACCCAAATGCTCTCATTCCATTGACAGACAGGTATAAACTGGATCCAATGTTTCTGAGGGAAATTTGGAAGGATTTATCAAAATCTCTAAAAATGTGTATACGTTAATTAAGGCTTTTATGTACAAAATAATTTATCATAGCAGGGTATTTTTGTGTCTTTCTAGTTTGGATTTTAAAAAATTAAGTTCTAATTTACATAGAGTAAAATTCACCCTTTTCAGTAGAAAGTTCTGGGAGTTTGAGAAACCCATGGGAACTTGTAACCACCACCATAATCAAGATATAGAAGTGTTTCATTACCCGCCAAAGTTTCCTCATGTCCTTTTTTAGTTCTCCCCTTGCTCCACCCTCAGTTCCTAGGAAACTGATCTGTTTTTTTTTTTCCCTCTATAGTTTTGCCCTTTCCAGAATGTTATAAAAATGGACTGGTACAGTGTGTAGCATATTTTTTTTATTGAAGTGTAGTTGATTTACAGTGTTGTGTTAATTTCTGCTGTACTGCAAAGTGATTCAGTTATACATATATACATTTTTTATATTCTTTTCCATTATGGTTTATCACAGGATATTGAATATAGTTCCCTGTGCTACACAGTAAGACCTTGTTGTTTATCCATTCTATGTATAATAGCTTACATCTGCTAATCCCCAACTCCCAATCCATTCCTCCCCCAACACCCTCTCCCTTGGCAACCACAAGTCTGTTCTCTGTCTGTGAGTCTGTTTCTGTTTGGTTGATAAGTTCATTTGTGTCATATTTTAGATTCCACATATAAGTGATATATGGTATTTGTCTTTCTGACTTACTTCACTTAGTATGATAATCTCTAGTTCCATCCATGTTGCTGCAGATGGCATTATTTCATTCTTTTTTATGGGTGAGTAATATTCTATTGTATATATGTACCACATCTTCTTTATCCATTCATCTGTCAGTGGACATGTAGGTTGTTTCCATGTCCTGGCTATTGTAAATAGTGCTACTATGAACATAGAGGTGCATGTATCTTTTTGAATCATAGTTTTGTCCAGGTATATGCCCAGGAGTGGGATTTCTGGATCATGTAGCAACTCTATTTTTAGTTTTCTGAGGACCCTCCACACTGTTTTCCATAATGGCTGCACCAACTTACATTCCCACCAACAGTGTAGGAGGGTTCCCTTTTCTCCAGCCAAGCATATTAAGTTGGCTTCTTTCACTTAGTATGACGCATTTGAGATGTTGTGTGTTGAGTATATCAGTACTTTGTTTCTTTTTACTTCAAAGCAGGACCCCATTGTATGGATGTATCACAATTGTTTATACATATCCCTCCCAGTTCAGGGACAATCAGATTTGGTTTCCAGTTTGGGGTTATTCCAAATAAGTCAGAAAGAGAAAAATAAATATATATTAATGCATATATGTGGAATCTAGAAAAATGGTACAGATGAACTGGTTTGCAAGGCAGAAGTAGAGACACAGATGTAGAGAACAAATGTATGGACACCAAAGGGGGAAAGCAGGGGGGTGGGGGTGGGATGAATTCGGAGACTGGGATTCACACTAATATGTATAAAATAGATAACTAATAAGAACCTACTGTATAATAAATAAATACATAAATAAAATTTTTAAACTACTACAAATATTTATACACAGGTTTTTGTGTGAACATAGGTTTACATTTCACTTGGGTAAATACCTAGAGTGAAATTGCTGCGTTGTATGGTAAGATTATGTTTAATTTTAAAGAAACTGACTAATTGTTTTTCAAAGTGGCTGCACCGTTTTGCATTTGCATTGATGTCCCTGTTGCTCCCTATCCTTCCTAGCATTTCATTGTTGTCAGGTATTTTTTCTCCCATTCTAATAGTGTGCAGTAGTATTCATTGTGATTTTATTTTGCATTTCTCCAATAACTAATGATACTGAGTATATTTTATTGTATCTATTTGCCATCAACATATCTTCTTTGAGATGGGTCTCTTCATATTTTTTCATTTTTATTTGTTTGTTTTCTTCTTAATGAGTTTGAGGGCTCTTTAGTCTAATATGTCTTTTTTTTAATAAATTTATTTATTTCATTTATTTATTTTTGGCTGCACTGGGTCTCTGTTGCTGTGCGCAGGCTTTCTCTAGTTGCGGAACGCGGGCTTCTCATTGCGGTGGCTTCTCTTGTAGAGCATGGGCTCTAGGTGCATGGGCTTCAGCAGTTATGGCACACAGGCTCAGTAGTTGTGGCTCATGGGCTCTAGAGCGCAGGCTCAGTAGTTGTGGCACACAGGCTTAGTTGCTCTGCGGCATGTGGGATCTTCTCGGACCAGGGACCGAACCCGTGTCCCCTGAACTGGCAGGCGAATTCTTAACCCCTGCACCACCAAGGAAGTCCCCACAAACATCGTATATCAGTCTTGTTGAGATATAATTCACATAATACAAAATTGACCCATTTAAAGTATACACTTCAGTGTATCACAGTCCAGTTTTAGAACATTTCGTCACCACAGTCCAGTTTTAGAACATTTTGTCACCCCAAAATGAAGCCCCACGCCCATTAGCAGTCACATCCAGCATTAGTTTCCTATTACTGCAAGTGTGGTGGCTTAAAACAATCGAAATGTATTCTCTCACAGTTCTGGAGGCCAGAAGTCTGAAATCAATATCACTGATCCAAGATCAAGGTATTAGCAAGGCTGTGATCCCTTCAGAGACTCTAGGGAAGAATCTAGCCCTTGCTTCCTCCAGCTTCCAGTGGGTGCCAACATTCTTTGGCTTGTTGTGACTGTTATCACTCCAGTCTTCAAAGCCAGCATCTTCAAATCTCTCTGTTCCATCTCCGCATCACCTTCTCTTCTGTGTGTGTTCAGACCTCCCTCTGTCTCCCTGTTATAAGGATACATGTGATTACATTTAGTGCCAGCCACATAATCCAGGATAATCTCCCCATCTCAAAATCCTTAACTTACCACATGTGCAAAGCCCCTTGGTCTGCCATATGAGGTAACATTCACAGGTTCTGGGGATTAGGACGTGGATATCCTTGGGGAGACCACTTTCCAGCTTATCACTCTCCCTTTTCCTGCCTCTCCCCACACTGCAGCC